GGGGGGGGGGGAATAATAAGGACATCCTGTAAGGTGTGTCTGTGGCCTGTTTGTTTACTGTTTGTTTCTTACATGAAAAAAAATGCATCCAGTACATTAAGTTGTCAGGATGGCCATGTGGTCTAAGGTGCTGTGTTCAGGTCACAGTCTGGTTCTGCAGGCGTGGGTTCAAATCCCACTTCTGCAATTGTTTTTTTCATTTTTTTTCGTTTTTTTGTCCACACTGCAGACACTCTACTACTTGAGGTAGCACTGGAAGAGGCCAGTCCCATTGCTTACCTCCTTCCTAGAAAGGAAAACCAAGGCCTGAACATTAAATTGGATTAAAACAATACTTTTTCAAGTGTTTATGTAACTGGGATTAAATGTCAATGTGTGGACCTCATCAGAATACCTTGAGGTCATAGTCAGTTTGGACCTTTCCCTCTTTTTTAAAGAAGAGAATGGAAGGCTTCTCTTCTTTCTTTCTTTGTGATTATCCTGCAGGATGGAAGGGCACAGCAGGAGCCATAAAGGTGATGTTGCACCAGTTTTCTGCAGCCATTGTGCAGCCTCCTTGGTAAGATAGTTTTCAATTGCCATTTGCTACAAGTTTTGTTGTGGACAAAAGTCATTTGCTACAAGTCATTTTTTTAACCTTCATTACTAGCAAAAGTCATTTGCTAAAAAAAATCTTTGACACAAGTTGCAGCAAATGACAATTCAAAACTCTCTCACACTTGAGGCTGCCCGAACACCATGCGGAACTAGTACAACATCACTTCTGTGGCTCCTCTGCCCTTCCATCCTGCAGGAAAATGAAAAAAAAAATTAGAGATGACTCCAGTTATGTAGGAAGGAGCAGGAAAAGTTCCAAACTGACTTGGAGCTCAAGATATAAAAAATTCTGCTCAGAAACATGTAACACCTCCTAAATCAGCCACACATCCAATGTGTATTTTTGTAAACTAATTATGTCAGACTTTATAGTGCCATTATTTCTCTAAATAAGGATGCTATTCTTTCCAGCTGTAATGAAAAATGCAGGGTCTCAGGGTCAGATCAAATATTCTCTTTCCAAATGGTGTTATGAATAGAATACTGGAGTTTATTTTTGAGTGGATGGTCAAAGGAGTGGTCAGTTGGACTTGCTTTGGAGGATAATTTTGTGGAAAAATTATTGGTGGTTCATCAAGGGAAAAATTAAGGGTTAGAGGCAATTTGTGACCAGATAAACCTTGGAGGATGGTGGTTGGTGGCCTATGGAGGTTTCCCCATACATTTACCATTAGGCCAATTTGTTTCATATAACATTTTGGTGGGAACCACTGGTGGTGGTTTATCAAGGAGCAATTTAATTGGGTTTGACTGTACTGTACTCACATTCTCTCGGAGACGAAATGGAGTTGGTGAGTATATCTGCTGCGCAAAAGGCAACTGCATCCAGGTCCTATGGAAACGGAGAGAAAATGAAGCTTTTCTGTCACTGATTTGTTTCTGGCTCAAAATAAGTGCTGGACTAGACTTACATTTGGATCAGCAATCAGTCTCCCGCTGAGTCGCCACCAGTTGTTATGCAGAAATCCAAGGGACTTGAAATAGTCTGGGGTAGAGGAATCTATCCTGCCGAAATATTCCACGACATCGTCCTTCTTTATTTCCACCATGTTGTGACCAGCGAGGGTCATCGGGTCTTTGAGGTTCCAGCGCAAGATGGAATCTTTTAGAATTTCCCCCAAATGTTGCAGCTTAACCCATCTTGCACGCAGGTGAATTTCGAGGTCATGGATCAATCCTACGAAATTGAACAAGTAAATTCCGGCCCGTGGCGCAACGAAGTATCCAATGCTGGGCTTTAGACCATGTCCGACATTCATCACGGCCATTTCTGGCCGGAATCCTAAAGGAAAGATAAACAGACATTTTGATCATCAAAGTTCATCGCAAGAAACTTCCTGCGACCGAAAATATGCCAGCTAAAATTCGTTGTACTGTATTGAGATTCTGAGGAAAGTTTTATGTTATTTTAATTTCCGAGGCACATTATTTTAATCTCAAGAGTTTTTCTCCTCAAGAAAATTAAAAATGCGTTGCAGCAGAAGTAACACAAATTATCTGATAGATGAGAATACAGTACCTAGAAATGTTTTTTTTATAGAAATATCTGTTCCAGCATTGATTTCTTCAACGGTGGGAAGAACAAAGGAAAGAAAGTATGCACCATTTTCAGTTAATGTTGACGAACTGTGTCAGGAACAAATCAAGTTACAGTACTGAATTTTGAAAATGTTTTTAAATTTTTATTACAGTATTTTGTGTTCAAATGAAAAGCTTTGATATAACAGAATTACACCTCAGCTGTAAGTCAGTCTGATTTCCTCGGACTTCTTGTAAAAATGCGTATTACACGTCATTTTTGAGAGAAAAGCTTTGGAAAATGCAGTAAACTATCAAGATTAATTAAATTGTGCATCGGATTGTCTCAAGCACTGGTCTTGAATAATACACAATTTTAGAGATAGGCATAGGAATACTTTTTCTTGATTTTAATGCCTTCTCACGGGATTTTGTCATGCCTTCTCACGTATTTCCGAATTTTTGTGATAGGAAATGTTAAGACAACAAGAGTTCTGCACAAATGTATACTTTTTGTTGAGAACTGCGCCGCCAATGGGTAATGATGTTGTCCAATTGCAGTGAAGACGATCGGGTCGTTTTGAGTGTCTTTCGAATGAGGCGAGTCGATTTCCTGAAGGTCAACAAAAGGGCATTATGGATCAAATTTTAAATGTTTAGTCCCAAAAAAGTAAATTTCACGTTTTTTTCCTGGCATTTCCGGGAAACTTCGCAATCACGGCCGGAAATCCTCGTGATTAAAATATTTACAGTGAGAGCGACAAGTATTTCCCAACGGAACGTCGCAGTCTTCCAGTTTTTGGCCATGTTCGAACTGCGTTCTAAAATGTGTAATGGAAATAGCGTATCGCGCAAAAAATTAAACTGAAGTTCACTTCGCCAATTAGTACTGCATTGGGCTCCCGGCTCAACAACTATGCGGACACTTCAAGCAATTTCTTCCACTTAGTCGACTTAGTCGTCGGGTGTAATGAATCACACTGTAACAAGATGGTTGGCAATTCTAGAGAGTGCTTATTGGTCACTCTGACGTGAAATCACACAATTTGATACTCAATACAGTCGTAACATGCGTCAATTGCAAAATTCACAGAATATTGCTGATTTTCTCTGAACTTGTACGTCAGCAGCTCCTGGTTCGAAAAATTCGACTCGCTAAAACGCAATTTAGCTGATAAATCAATAAGTTTTATTTATAGTTATGCATAAAGCTTTTTATACGGGGATCGCAGATTTACTCAAGCTCATGGTTTTAAGAATGAAATAATTCTGTGAATATAATTTTTAACAAATCAACAGAACATGTGAAAGTTCGCATGTTATAAGCACTGTCTTTTAATATAATTCTTTTGTTATACTATAGAAATCCCTTGAATTTCATTTATCCCGATGAATGCCAATATCGTCTCTTTTGCTTGAAATGCGGAGTTTCTCATGCGTTGATAACCATAGTCAAATCATTCTAATACACCGTAGTATATGTCAGGTACAACTAAGAATAATTTTCCAAAAACGTTTTTGTCCGAATTTTCAAGTGCAAGGGATTAATTGGAGATCAAGGACACTAGTACAATTCATAACCTTGAATTCTTACATTAATTATTGCGACAATACTTCATCAAATTCGAAACGCGAAACATTTAAAAGTGCATTCATGCTTCATACTCCAAAAAATGGGTGTGTGTTCACAGGAAAAAAATGTGCGGGGAATGATCGACATTTTCATGAATAATTAAAGTTAAAATCATGATTCGTACGCTTAATCGAATCATTCGAGTGTAAAGCTGTACAATCTAGTTCTACGGGAGATGAAACATTTTGTGTCTCACATAGCAATTTTTTCTTCTGAAAAAACGAATTTCTCGGGCAAAAATGCATTAATTTGATCATGAGTTTGAGTTTGAACTTTAAATTATTATCGAAATTATAAAAAAGAAACAAAAAGGGACTGTTTTCCTGTTTTAGCCGCATAATGTTTTAATTTAAAAACAATTCGAGCTTAAAATTGTCTGGATTACGATACTTGTACTATGATTCTATGCAAATAAATGTAACCTTTATTTTAAATATTCACGGATAACTTGCCAAAATAAGCAGGCCTTTAAGGTTTCTCAATGTATTGTGAGAGCCTGAAAGGGATTAAAATGTTCCCCATTATAATTTGACCAAAATTACGCTCAACCGAAAAACAAAATATCTATGAAAAAATTGTCAACTATATGGATGGGTTTTACTACGCAAACACTCGCTTTATTTCAGTTATTGGGTCATCTATAATCTATATGGCTCCCTGAGTCACTAGCATTCATTCCATGGGATAATATTGATATGTGGGAAAACTAAGAAAGTTAAAACACAATTTTATTTTTGAGTAAATGAAACAGATTCGTCCATGGCAAAAAAAATCTGAGGAAAGACTCAGCATTCGTCATGCTGAAATCAACTGCTCAAATTTTTTGCACAACGTCTTTGGGAGACGGAATGCAGAATGAATCGAGATGATCCATTTAATTTTTTCATTTTTAAAAATCCACTTATTAAAAAAGATGTCAATTAATAAACAAGACATTTAATGTGTGTGCGATGTAATGCAGTCAAAGAACGTCGCATCGATCGTCGAAACAATGATAACAGCGAAATATGCTTGTATGCGATTTATTCACGCATCAATAAGACAGCACTCACATCACCGCAAAAATAGGATAAAATATAGACTCAATACGCGCTCATTAAAAATCATGTGTGCATGTATACTGCAGCACACTAGACTTGAGTCACTACTGTTTAAGTTCGACCTGCACCGATTTGAACAGACACGATAAAGGATTTCGGAAATGTTCCCAACCATCACCACGGGGGCCTGAAACGTTATTTCAATCCCACCCCCAACACGTAAATCATTGCTCCATTAAGACGATCAGCAATATATATATAAATGATGCTGAACGCGGAATTCCCCAAGATGAAATCTCTCAGCTAGAAGATACGAAAGCCTGAGAATCGCCCGTAACATGGCTCTTGAGCTGCGATTTTTCCTTTCAGTTTCGCGGATACCGATTCACCTTTCGCCAATTCCGTGATCGCACCGAATTCCATAGTGATGTGATCATAGTCCCCTACGAATGCCCCTGATAAATCCAGTCCACCTTTCTCAAGCCTAACGTCAGCCCCCGCGTTGTTTGCAAGGAATTGCAGGAGGAAGTGGTAAACACCGGAAACTGGTGCGACGAATGTCCCAGTGTTGTTGTTGTCCATTCCACCACCAATGTTGAGGAAAACCTTTTCAAAGGACATGAGTGACCCTGGGGGAAACAAGGAGATGCAGTGAGATTCCCACACGTGGACACCTTGACATGGGGACATTTATTTTTCAAAAAAAATTTAGTAGATTAAAAAATTAATCTAAAAAACCATGTTTTGAAAAAGGAAAAAATAACCTTAAGCGTGGTGCGCATCTATTTCATTTGTATTTCACTTCTTCCTGTCAGGAAGTGAGCAAAATTTGAGTTGCAAAATTTGATCCAGACAAACAAATGGACAAGAAAGTGAGTTGATAAAAACGTGTTAAAAAAAGGCCCTACATATGTTAGGGAGAAACTTACCTCAACATGAATATGTTAATTTTGCGAGTGGCTCAATAAATTGGTAAAGTGAAGTTCAAGAAATGTTGAAATAAAAAACAGAATCAGCCTGGGACAAGGCCGGGGAACCTTATTTTGGTTTCCCTGATTTAAACTAGAAGTATATTTTGAATATTTTGTCCCACAAAGTTGATGCGCAAATAATGGGTCTTTCAAGAATACAACACTCAACAGAACTTCACTGAAATTTGTAGATTTTTGCGATGCGCACACTTTGAAAGTTCAATAGCAAGTGGAGTTTGTTTTTTGGTAAATTGCGAGAGCAGCGGAAATAAAAACTAGTTATTCATTGTTCTTTTGGGTTGTTATCCTTGATGTGTTCCTTCCCTTTGAGGGTTGGAACTCTTATCAAGATTTTTGCGGTTTTTTATAATTCATTTTAATTTAATTTAAGCATTGTTTGGTGTGCGGTGGTTTCCCAACAACATACGGACACTGACTCAACATGACATTGCATGGTAAAATTGCCAATAAATTTCAAGAAAATTGACTTTTATTAGGCTTAATTGCAAGAAACAGATTTTTCCAACCCCTGATTTGGCATTAATTTGTCAAAGGCTTTGGATTCATCGGCAATTCTATTTTTGTCTATTTTTGATTGCGTTTAACAACCCTGGTCTTGGATGATCCGTAGTTCATTTTATTTTTTCTGATATTCAAGGGATTCTTCTCTGGAAAAAGCTCTTTAAATTTGTTCGTCATCACCATCAGTGAAACATGCACAAAAGCGCGTTTTCGTGCTTCTCTGATGCTGATCGTTCCTTTCCTCAATTGACGGGTGTCTTGAATAAAACAAGTCAAGGCTGAATAATCTACGAGAAGTGTGTCATTTTTTTCAAATGTAACCACATAACCCCACGAAAGCAACTCGTATATGCACGAAGCCAGAACTGAGACACTTTTTGAACGACCTCTTTTTTGGAATGCTAAAATACATTCGAATTGAGTCACGTCACTAATCTTGGACGCAGAAAAAGGAGTAAAAGTTTCAATGTGTTGGAAAATTACTTAGAAATTTGCCGTTTTAACCTCTAGTTGTATTCGCATCCTCGAAATGCTTTTTTAGGTACTGAAAGATGGGTTTAAAAATGCTCACATTCTTCAGCAGGCGACGCTAGGGCGGGTATTCCTCCGACTGAGAACACAACCGCGTCGGTGTCCTGCGAAAAACACGACGAGCATTTTTCTTGTCCTGGATTATTTGGATTTGAAAGATTTTAGCTCGAAGTTATACCTCACTTTCCGCGATCAGTCTTCCGGTAAATCGCCAGAATTCGTTCTTCTCGTACATTTCATGTTGAGAATAATACAATTGGTTATCTACTCGGCCGTAAAACTCCAGGACATCCCTTCTCTTCATTTCCACGATGGTGTGTCCAGTGGCAAGTACAGGTTGAGAAAATCCAAAAGAAATCTTGGAATCCCAATCCGCGTGAGTGAGATGCGTCATGGTTAGAAACCGGTCTTGTACATTACTCATGTTATTGTTCAATACTGCAGAATTGAATAAGTAAATTCCGTCACGGGGTGCAACGAAGTAGCCGATGGTCGGTTTGAAACCTTTTCCAACATTCAGCACGGTTACTTCAGGTCTGACTCCTGAAAAGGAAAAACAAACTGCACTTCCAGGCAGAGAGTATAGAAAAGTGTAGACCTTTTTGGCATAGTCAAACCCCGTTAAACCACCAACATCTGTGCAGCAAGATTTTGGCGGTTTAATGAGGGTGGCGGTCTATTGAGGGTAGTGGTTCACTACAAAATTACTACAGGACAAGAAAAAATTAAGAAAAAGGATGATGGATATAAGAAGAATACCTTTACATTAATATATGACTTCTTGTGTATTTTTATTAGTGTTCTTGCTTAATTTTGGAGCAAATATTGCATCCATTTGTACCTGATTTTTCAGCAATTGCATTCTGTTCATATTTTAAAATTGAATCTCTCTCCAAATTGGTGGTTTAAAAGGGTTAAAAAACAAGGACAAGTGCCTATTTGAGGGCAGAAAATTGTTGGCGGATGGCACTCTATTGAGGTTTCCCCATCCTTTTAAAATTGGGGAGATTTGTTTGGGGTAAAAATATGGCAGGAGGTGAGGGTGGCGGTTTATCAGGGGGTGGTTTAACGGGGTTTGACTGTACATGCGCTTGAATGGATGTTTGTGTGAAGGGATACAATGGAAGCACTTGTGAATGTTGACAAGCAGCAAAGGAAGCTTGTATGTCAATCAATCTATCATACAATTTTACATCATTTGCATCATGTCAAGGCTTCAAAGCCAGCTCTGTTAATCCTAACATTCAGAATTCAATTCAAGGTACAAGGAACATTTCAGAATATTTTAATGTACTGTAATAATACATCAATTCTACAGTGAGACCCCCACACGCAGAAACCTCAACATGCAGACAATTTAACATAGGGATATTTATTTTTTTGAATAAAAAAGCATAAAAAAGGCCCAACATGTGGACATTGCATGATAAAAGTGTCAATACATTTCATGAAAGTTGACTTATATTAGGCTTAATTGCAAGAAACAGATATTTCCAGCCCAAAGATCTATGCAAGAAAAATTCTTTGGTATTTCTCCCATCATTTTTCCATCCATTCAGCAAATTTAAAAAAATTACCTATAGCATAGAGGGCCTTACTTTCTTTGTGACTTGAATGTTATTTTTACAGATCCCAACATTTAAATGTATTCTACAGAGGTACACTATTCATTGCTCCAAATGTTCTTATCCAGTTGAAAAGGTATTCACTGAATCAAATTCACCTGGGAAACCATTTTTTTCATTTAATTCTGAGAATATGAAAAATTATATAATGTAAGTCTATAAGAAAACAAGACTCAACTCAGGGACACTTTTGATGCACCAGTTATGTCCACATCAGGGGGTCTAACTGTATATGACTTGCATCTTTCACAATGATTTGCTATCTGATATTTAAACTCCTGATGACTTAGGTTATCTTAGTGCTGGAAATGAGTTGATTTTGGTGGGTTCTGATTATGAAACTCGACTAACGGCATCCAAAGTTTTATTTCGGAATTTTAAAGCATCATATGTAATGAGACAAAGGAATGATTATTATTTGTTCCTCGACCATGAATAGTCAACAGGAAATACGTTAGCTTTTTAAAGCCATAATGCGGTAATTTTTCCCTTTGTTCTTCACCACCAAGACTTGGCAGCTTTTGCAAACCACATTCTGGGCATTTTTTTTTTCGACTTTATCTCGAAGCAAGTATGTTTTCGTTCGTAATTATTTGAAAATATTCTACGCATAATTTACATTCGGATTTACGCTCTTGCACAGGAGTTCTTTCTCGGAATGTATTTCGTTTACTTTCTGCTGTTTTTAATATTCTTCCATAACTTTTCTCGTGACATGCACATTATTTTCTAATCACTTCGATATCGGACCAATGTGCCACTCTCTCTGAAAACATAGTATCGTATACCCTATCTCTATGCAAGGAAAAGCTCGTGTTCGAAAAAGGTAGAAAAGCCTTGCTCTAAATATACTCTTATGGCCCGTCGCCGAGAAAAAAAAAGTAGCAGAGACGAGGTCAAGTTCACTCGAGTATAAAGAGTTAAGGTATCTTTGGAATGAGCTAGGTGAGATATCAAATTTTCTAAAAATAAGTAGGGGAAATTTCAGCTGACCTCCAACAAAAAGTCAAAAGGAATACTGTACATACGTTTCCAATATCGTTCTGATTTTGAGACAGGATTCTTCCCGATTGCAGAAAAAAGGACTGGGTTGTCGTCTTGGTTTTTCTCCAAACCGATGCGTGCATCAATTTCCTGAATCCAAAAAATTTTCATTGCGATGAATTTGTTTGTATTTTTTTTTAGATAAGAAACTCACGTTTTTTCTTGGATCAGGAGGGGCCATTTCCGAGTCGCACATTGAAACCCACGTCGTGAAAACCGTAGTCAAAACTAGAAACTTTCCCCATTTCAGGGTGAGTTTCCTTGAATTATTCCCCATGCTTGACAAGGGCACGCAGTATATTTGCCAATAACAGTTCCTGTGCGACCGAAGCTTTGTGAATCAAACATGCATTTCGACTTCTTTTTAAGAACAGCGTTTCATTTCAGGTAAGCGAAAGGAATCACACTTTCTGACAGGCGACAAATGCGACAGCCACTTGAAACTTGAGGAAATCGAGGCCAAGTAACAACACCTGCAAATTACCGAGGTGTCATCCATTTTATTACTATATATTTATCATTAACTTATCTGCTGTCAAGTTAACACCAGAAATTTTTATGACGGCACAATAATGGTCCTTTTATGATGAACGATGCATCCGTGAAGCCAATTTGATTTTCTTTTGGCTGAACGTTTTTGGACGATGAAACTCACAAAGTGCAACAAATTGCATCAGTACAGCACTGCATATCTAAAGCATGGCACACATGGGTTGAAATTTAAGAAACCTTTCAATACTGTAATTATAGGCTACCAACCAAGAAATGCATGTTTGACCAGCCAGCAGCATGTAAGCATACCCAGCAAATATAATTGTATTGTTGTCAGTGTTCTAAATTTAATAAATAACTGTTCAAAAATGTATTGAATTTCCCTTGCAGAAACTCTGTATGTCCTTTGCTATGCATTTGTGTTGATCAGCGCCCTGAGACACAGGCACTACTGTATTACTGTCAGTCAGGGGCATTATACTGTAATTCTTGATGCATCTGGTCTTGTGACAACCTTGTTGCTACCTCATTATGCTTCCCTACATTCCAGCTGACCCCAATAAGCTCATACAAGCCTCTTCATCCCAACTTCTGTTTGACCAGTGTTGAAAGAACCTTCAACTTGTGAGATGGAGTCCATGCTATGTACTGTTGAATATACAGTAATATACATATAAACCATATACGGTATATATACAGGGTGGGCCAGAAAAAGTGAACTGATTTTTTACTTGAAATAGCTCAGTATCAAATTGAGCTGAGGCAAAGAAAAAATTCACAAACCAAAATCTTGTTCAATTTTCTTTGAAAGGGATGCCACAGAGCTCCCAGTGTCCCACCAGATGCATATTTTTTTCTGGATGACTGGATCGCAGAAACTGATCTTAAGTGCAAATTATTTTGGATTAAACTGATTTGGAGTGAAACTCCAAGTTTCCCTCAATGACTTGAGTTTCACTCAACTTGAGTTTCACGCATGAATTAAGATGAATTAACAGATCAGTCACTCCAGGCAATGAGTTCAATTCAAAATTATTTTCACTTAGGATCAGTTTCTGCCATTCAGTCATCCAGAAAAAAAGGATGGGACACCAGGAGCTTTGAGGCCAGCACCCAGTAGTATGCATCCACAACAGGAGTTCTGCAACATCCTATCTTGCCAATTTCCTTCCCTGTTTTCACACCCTGTGTCTGAATTTTGGGTACATGTGCAGGCTCTCCAAGACAGCATGAAGTTTTCTGGTTACATTATTGCATCATTCATTTCCTTCATTGATGCAAACAGCTCTCCAGAACAGCAGCTTAGTGGAAGAAGTTGCCTGACAACTTTTTTTTTTTTTTTTTTTTTTCAAATGGTTTTTGGGACCATTCCTTGGTGCTTGGGAAATCCTCTCTGTGGAGGCGGTGAACCCTGAAAAGTTTAATCATTTTTTCTTCTCTTCTAAAATTTGATCTGTGCTGTGTACAGCAGGTACACTGACCATAAGTGTACCCCTTCATTAAATATCCCCCTGAATTAGATTTTTGGAGCAGATTTAGGATTACAGGGCATCTCTGAGGTCCAGGGATGACAAGTGTGCAACAAGAAAGGCGGCCAATCTCTAGTAGGCTACATACTCCACAAAATTGAGGGCAGGTACTGACTGATACAGTGTCCAACAGCAGCTTGCAGGCATAGAGGAAAGCTGCTAACATCTCAGCAGTGCTCGAAAATTGCTCATGAAATCTCCAGCAGAATGAGTGGAGCCAGTGCCCACTCCAGCAGATGCACTGGGCAATCTCAGAGGAACCTGCAGACACCTCCAGCCTCCAGGTCAAGCTGTACCAATTTGACAGCTTTGGGTACAACAATAGCTTCCACCAATCAATCCTTGATGGGAACCAATCACCACCAGGCAATCATTTGCCAAATCCATAGCCTGGCTGACTCAATTGGATCCATTGATCACATCTTCCTGAATCCAGAGCTTGGGGATCAGCAGGAACCCATTGAATGGTACATACAGTTATTCCTGGATGCTGGAGCACATCTTCTGGCACTGCCTGAAGGCATCTTTACATTGCTTCCCTCACACTCCTGGCTGCCTGATGATAAGCACTTCCTAAATTCTGGGGAGAGCATGGCCAATGCTTCACCCTACCCAGGTTCAGGTGCTTGGAGTGGAATTTCCAGTGCCCCTGGCAGCAATAACTGCCAACCCTGCTGCAATTGCAACAGAGCCACCAGCTGACCAGATCATACCTGCAGGGCCAGTGGCATCAGAGCTTTCCACAGTTCAACAACAAGATAATGGTCCAGTTCCATCTCAAAGCACCAAACCTCCATATGTGGCAGCCATGCAAGATTCTGGCTCCATCAGGATCCAAAACATGGGACTAAGGCCTGTGTCAATTGATTCTGGGGGGACTGCAGATCCCTATAAGCACATCTATTAGCTCTATGGGACTGGAAACCCACTACCTCTTGCACATGCAGAGCTTGATGCATCCTATGCAACAGAGGCACATTCACCTGGCTTCCAAAAATGCACTGGTAAGCCAGATAAGGGGCTAAAATTTGAGCTCCCCTGGAGTCAATTCCTTGATATCCACATGGCACCTGTTGAGCAACTTACAGATGCAGAATGCATCCACATCCTGCTGTTGCACATAGATGGGGAAGCCAGATGCATCATCTTCAATTACACCCATTCCAGCTCAAGGGATTGGATATCTATGTGTGATCCAAGTCCTCTCCAATGAGCATGGGAAAACAGAAAAGCTGCATCTAAAACTCTTCCACAAGTTTGAACTTCTTCCAATGACAAAGACTATTGAAAATATTTTGGGATACTTTACACATTTAGTCCAGATTACCACCCACTAGAGCGCTATCAACACTGATATGAATCAAACTATGGCCCATAATGGAGGCACATTTGGGATGGCTATGAGAATGCCGCTGGGCCTAAGTAAGACCTAGGCCTAGTTCTGTACAATCTTTTTGGATCACATCTTGATGATGGACAACACCTGGCAACATCTCTGCAACCCTTTTTTGGAACCTTTGGCTGCCCTTGACCTCTCAGCCAGGCTGGCAAAGGTTCAAATTTTTTTGGGTTTGCACAAGATGGTGGCTGGCAACTGAAGGACAATTGCCTGGCTGTGACATCAGAGACGCATATTTGGCAGCAACCAGCTTGCTGTTTTGAGGCAAACTGGTGGTAAGAAGAAAGGAGAGAGAAAATCTTGGAGCTTGGGCTCCCAAGGCACATAATTTTGTCCTTCTGAGCTGGTGCTTCACATAAGAGGGATATTGTAACTTCTGATTGTTTCTGATTGAGATGTTTGTGTGCATGTGTGTTGTGATCTTGTTGAAGGAATTTTTCTTGCCCCGCTGCACCACTTTTTTGCTTATTGACTACTTTTTGAATATTTTACCAAGATCTAAAGGGCCCTCTCTAAGAGGTACCCAGCCACATGAAAGCTGATTGAAGTGTTTCACTTATTTTTAAATTTTACAGACCCTTTGTCACTTCTACATCCAAAACACCCTGTACACAAGGGTTGGTTCATACACAAATCTATGAACTTTCTGTCATCATTGGCATCCTACTCAAGTACCACAAACACCATGTTTCTCCAATCTAAGAGGAGAAAGGGGTGCACTCTGTGTGTGGGTATATTTTTCATCAATTAAAATATTCTAATATTTTAATGGAAAAAAATGAAGCGGAGACCAATTCATGTTCAATCCATGTTGAAATTCAAACTTGGGCATTCTTCTTTTGAAATGTTGTGGTTTTAGAGTCACTAAACATGGGGTGTGTCCTACTTGAGGAAAATATTCAACAGAAATGCTGAAGTGAAAAGCGCTGGTTTGTGCTGCCTTACTTAGGAGGTGAATTTTACATGAGTAAATTTGGTATACTGTATATATACAAGGGGTGTGGTTGATAAGAGATGATGAACTGCCACTTGCCATCATCAGATGCAGGTGCAATTTTTTATTTTACTCTTCAATCTTCATTGGTGTCTGATATAATTTTCATGGACCATTCAGCTACAGAAGGAAACAACTCTGCTTGAAGGATCCCTGTGAAGTTCCAAATTTTGCCATGGAAAATTTGGTCCATACCAGTAAAAACCACAGGAACAAGCCGCACTTCATACATATATGGACAAATTTTCACTATGGCATACATATGCAGGCAAAGACTACTATTGTAGCGTGGTTTAATTGAAACAACCTTTTTTCATGCCATATTTTATTTCTTCCCTTGAACAACCCACAGCAATCCCCGTGTACATATATTTCCTGTATATACATGATTAAGTTTGTGCGATATATATTTAACGGGCTTGATAGATTATTTTCAACACCATCCCACAGTTTCTTCCACAACAACTCGATACGATCGGCAAGCAATCCTGATGAAGCTGTCCTCCTTAGGGCATGTAGACCTACAGCAGGGCATCTCCGGTGGGTTCCATTGCGAGTCACTGTCACAAACGGCTACAAATGAGTTGTCGTCGTGTTCGATGACATGTTCCTTGTCGAGAATCGTGACCAGTTCTAGGTTTGCTTCACACTGAATAGTGGCTGTAGAATTCAGATACCGGCTTTTCGAATAGGAGACGATTCCATTTTTAATGTGGATTTCAGGACACTGACGATTGTTCTGATTGACTTCGTTGATAACCGTTTCCAAATTTTCCTGCGCAAGTTTTGATGCAGCGGCAAAATTTTCATTGCCAGTCGCAAGAAAGTCGAAAATACACTGCGTCATCCCTCCACAGACCTCCGTAACTATGTCGGGAACGTTCTCTAAGAAATCGTCCAACATGGGAGCATA